AAGAAAACTCATGTTTGCAGCATTGACAAGAGAGGAGAGAGAAAATGGAAAGAAAAAGAAAGAAAGAAGTAATGAGTATAGTAGATATTAATTCAGGTATAATAATCATCATTTTAAATGTCAGTGGTCTAAATACACCGATCAAAAGACAGATAATGTCAGAGTTGATGTAAAAAAAAAAACAAAACACACAACTACATGTTGTTTACAATTAACCCATGTTAAATATAAAGAGATGGCAGAATAGGAGGCTCCTGACTTTCTTCCTCCCATAGATGCACTGCATATACAGCCAAACACAAACCAGTTCCCTCTGAGAAAAATCCAGAAATTAGTTGAGTGTCTCCTATACATTAGGCAATCAAGAAAATACCCACAATTGAAATAATTAGGAAAACCTGAGACATACTCAATGCAGTAAGTCCCACCCTGGAACAAGCCTTACAACTTGGAGGGAACTTCCTAAAGAGCAAAGGGCCTGGACCACATACTTGAAAACCAAGTTTTATGGCTTCCAACCAGGTTCCTGGCTCCCAAATTACTAGCTTGGAGAACCAATGAGCCTTAGTGTTTGTAAGTCCTAAAGGGAACAAAGTTTAAAAAGAGGACACCCATGTTATTTTATTTTATTTTTGATTATAGTTGACACATGGTGTTACATTAGTCTTAGGTATATAATATACTGATTTGACAAGTTATTTATTTTTTTTAAAGAGAGTGAGCATAAGTGGGGTGGGAGGGGCAGAGGGAGAGGGAGATAATCTTAAGTAGGCTCCATGCCCAGTATGGAGCCCAATACAGGGCTTGGTTTCACAACCCTGAGATCATGACCTGAGCTAAAAATCACGATTCAGAGGCTTTAACTGACTCAGCCTCCCAGGCACCCCATGACAAGTTTATGCATTATACTATGCTCACACCACAAGTGTAGCTACATCTGCCACTATATATTATTGCAGTATCACTGACTACATTCCTTAATGCTGTGTCTTTTATTCCTGTGACTTATTCATTGCACAGCTGGAAGCCTGTATCACCGGCTTCTGTTTACCCATTTGGCCTATCCCCCCAATCCCCTCCCTTCTGGTAACCGTTAATTTGTTCTCTGTATTTATGTCTGATTCTGCTTTTGGTTTGTTTAAGATTCTGCATACGTATGAAATAATATGGTATTTGTCTTCCTCAGTCTGACATATTTCACTTAGCATAATATTCTCTAGGCCCATTCATGTTTTGGCAAATAGCACATTCTCACCTTTTATTATGGCTGAGTAATAGTGAATGATATTCCATTCCATGTATATACATGGAATAGTACACACACACACACACACATAATCTTTCTTAATCTTTTGTCTATAAATGGACACTTAGTTTGCTTCCATACTTTGGCTATTGTAAGTAATGGTGCATTAAACATATGGGTGCAAATACCTTTTCAAATTAGTTTTCTTTTCTCTGGGTAAGTACTCAGTAGTAGAATTATCAGATCATATGGTATTTCTCTTTTTAATTTTTTGGGGGAACCTCCATGCTGTTTCCACAATGACTGTACCAGTTTACATTCCCAACGGTGTGAAAATGTTTTTTTCCCACATGCTCACCAACACTTCTTATTTATTGAAAAAAAAGAGGTCATTTTTAAATGGATGCATGAACACTTCCAACGGCAATCCCCCTGGGCTCAGTACAGAGGGAGCAGGCAGAAATAAAGGCTCCCAGTTTTTCTCTTTAAGGGGCTTGACTGCATTCTTCTCCATCTACTTTTAATGAGGGAGCTAATTAGGACCTTCTTAGGAGCCTGAAAGTACTTGTGGGCATTTTCTCTATCTTCTTCTTCCAGCAGAAACAGTAAAACCAAGTCTTCAGCTTCTCCCTAGAAGGAACATGTCCACAACTTTTACAGCTGCCACTTGATGGATGGGCTCCCAAATCACTTATATCTGAAAACAAACAAACAAACAAACAAACAAACAGTGTTTGGTATTTGTGAGTCCCCTGGGACACTGTTAAGCTACTTAATAATCCCCTAGAAGCTGATGTAAGCATGTAGGAACTCCATGTGCCTTTTCATGGCTCATCCCAGGAATAAAGCTAAGTCTCTAATTTCTCCTTAAAAGGAGTTTGTCTGTACATCTAGCACCCTAACTTTTTTGTATAAGGGCTTGGCGGTTCTGGGA